TGGTAAATCAAACAAATAGGAAAAAAATTTGAAATAACTAGTTGGGTTATTTCGAAAACTTTGATATATTTCTCCAGCTTATAAAGGATTCAACTGGTCATGCACTCTATCAAGACCATCTTAAACTATTTTTATGTCATGTTCATATGTTTTTTATTATATTAAATAGACATTTAAAAAAATATAGATTCTTTAATTTATGTGTAGTAAATTTTTCTTATTTGAGTTGTTTGATTGCTCTATTCGGATCGGACGTGCTAAAAAAAAAGGCTATGTATATAGTTGTGACCTGTTAGACGTTGATAAATAGTGAGATTCATTGTACTCATAGATTACATTACTTGTGGACATATTCGAAGAAAATTAAATAAATTCATCTGTTTTTTTAATTAAAATAAATTGTGGGAGTTTCGATCTGTGACTCATAATGTCTTCGGTCCCCGGAGATAAATTCATTTGTTTAATAAAGGTTTACAATTTATTAACGGTAAAATAATTAATTTCATGAAAATTACAATATCTTTATGAACAAAATACATTTTTGTTGAAAAAGACCGGAATTATAAATAGACATAAACGAGTTGATATTCTGTAATCGAATAAGGCTTTCTATGAGCGAGTAAGGTTTTTCAAAACGAGTAAGGTTTTTCAGAGAAAACATTGTCCAAAATTACTTAATTGGGTTTTCAGAAGTTTACTTATGTAACTTGTTATAATTTTCTTATATTCTATATGTATTATGTAATCTTGGATGCTACATAAATAAAGGTAGATGTTAAAAAAAAAAAGAGTTTGTAAAATCTTAGTTCAAAGAAGGTTAACTACTAGTGGTTTGTAAACTTTGTTTGATGGGTTTGAGTGTATAATAATTGTCGTTGTTTCACCGACCGAGTTCAAATCTATATAAATCTAAATCCATGCTGATAGAAATAAAAATACAAAATCTATTAAGAAAAAAAAGTTTTGATATAAATGAACTAATTTAAGTTTATAAATTAAGCATAAAGAAGATATTTCATAATTCTATTTAATATTTATTCAGTTATTCACTTATTTTCGTTTTTAATTTAATTTTAATCTCT